ACCCACATGAACTGCAATCACACAGAGTGGGGATACAAAGCCCCAAGCACCATTAAAAAATGACAGGATTCAATATATACCTTTCAATAACCATAAATATCAATTGTGTCAATTACCCCAATCAAAAGACACAGTCCAGAAGGCCCAACTGAAAATAGCCTCGTTTACTTTGGTGCCTGCAAGACTGCGTGTCTTCATCAAAGACGGGCTCAATTTCAGGGTGAAAGGCTGGGAAAGGAATTCCAAGCAAACAGAACTAAGAAACAAGCAAATGTCACTGTTCTGACATGTGACAAATTAGACTCAAACCAAAACCAGTCATAAGTTACCAAGAAGGTCAGTTCATATTACTCAGGGAACAATTAACCCATGAAGAATTGCAATTCGAAACATGTAACACACTGAACAACATACCAAATTTCATTTAAAAAAAAAAAAAAAAAAAAAAAAACAAGTGCTCCTAGATGTAGTGGCAGATAAATCCCAACACAGGGAGGTTAGAGGACCTCACCATCCTGATCTCAATAGACGACTGGTCACCCTTTCACACATACCTTCCAGGAAAACAACGCTATTGATATGAAAACTGGGTGAAGAAAGACACAACAAAAGGAAAATTATAGCACAATTCCCCTGATGATCACAGCTGCAAAAATTATCAGGGGAAAAAAAAAAAAAAACCAAAGCAAGAAAACAAAACCTTGCAAACCAAATATATGCACACATCAAAAAGACCATTCAGTGTGATAAAGTTGACTTCGTTCCAGTGGTACAAAGGATGGCTCAACATTTACAAACCGGTAAATGGAATACATCACAGAAATAGACTCCAGGACAGACACCTCCTGATCATCTCCAAAGACGCAGAAATGGCTTTTGACAAAATACAGCACGGCTTTATAACAAAAGCCCCAACAGAGCTAGGAATAGGAAAACATAAAGGCTATATGTAACAAACCAATTACCATTATACCACATGAGGGGTTCCAAAGCGTTTTCACTAACACAGCGAGAGTCTTCATGCCCTCCACTCTTATTTAAAATAGTGCTTGAAGTATTAGTTAGAGCAATAAGACAAGAAAGGGGAAACAAAGATACAAATAAGAAAGCAAGAAGCTGAATTATCTCTATTTTTAGATGGCATACATGAGACCTTCAAAGACTTCCTCAGAACATTCTTAGAGCTGGTATTTTCAGCAAAGTAGCAGGACGGGAAAAAAAAAAAAAAATCAACCTCACTCACCATCAGGTGAGTGAAAATCAAGAACTCTATTCTACCTTGTTCCAGCCAGAATCACAGACATCGAGACAATGCATCCTAACAAACACCGCTGAGGATGTGGACCAAAGGGAACTCTCATGCACAGTCAGAGGGGATGCAGAGTGACCCAGCCACTGTGCACATAGCTATGGAGGCTCTGCAGAAAACCAACCCAGGGCAGCTGCTGCAAACCCATGTTCACTGCGGCTCTACTCACAGCGCCTAAGTTATAGAACACACCTAGGTGCACACCGGCCTGCTCTCTAGCCACTCAGAAGAATGGAGTTATGTCACCCTGCCAACTGAATCAAGGCCGTCCCAGAAAGCTCGAGTTGTCTCTCATTCTCAGGTCCTGGATTTTGTATAGATGCATACCACCATGTATATGACATAAATATAGAAGCAAAACTGTTCAAGGAGACTAAAGGACAGGAAGGGTGAAAGGGGCGTGGGGGTACAGACAGAATGCACTCAAAGTGCATCCTAATTGACTGAGAATGCTTAGGCAGCCCGGCAGCATGCGCAATAAGTATGCACCAATGAAAACCTTAAGATACATTTTTAAACTTTTGAAACATTACCTTGAGTGTCATCTCTGCAACCCTCTCCCTGTGTGTGTGTGTGTGTGTGTGTGTGTGTGTGTGTGTGTCTCAGTAGGGCAAAAGTATGTGGTGTCTATTCTCCACCAGTTAAACAGGAGTACACACCTCTGGTGGTATAGGAAGAAATAATTCTAGTTTCCTAAGTAAAAACCCATAGATTATTGCCTTTAGAATGTGTTGCTGAATCACCTATTAATTCGCCTTTATAAATAAACATTTTTTTTCAAATTATGTTATTTATCTCCTAATGCTTTGGTTGTTACACATCTAGAAAATCCTCGCATTTGTATCTTCTGATAACTGTGAGCTTTTTCGTCTAATGAGTGGCAGTAAATGAAATCTAATACAATTGTCAGTGAATTATAAACGTTGTCTTCTCTTTTTTTTTTTTTTTTGAACATAAAAAATAAAATCAAAATTTAAGGTGATAAAACACTAAGAAATAGATGAATAAATGCATAGAAATGTAAGTACTTTTTTCCTCTTTAGTGTTATAAACTCTAGACACTTGTAGAAAGTGCATGCTGAAATATATGTAGTACATGTTTTGGATTTATTATTTTTCAAAAAAGAAAAAAAAAAGACCCAGAAGTACACTTTATCACTTTCAAACAATTAAGAAAGCAGAAACTAAAGATGAAAATAAATGAAAGAAAATGGAAAATGCCACAGAAAATTAAGGAAATCTTAGAAAGAGGTGCATTGTTCAAATCATAAAACAGTTCGCTATGCACTGAAGAATACTTAGTAATCAGGAAAATACAGACTCAAAGGCCAGGAGGTACTTTGGAGAGAGACAAACTGAGACGTTTGCTGATCTCGGGGTACATAACTTGCTAGAGTAGTAAGTTATGGGTGTATCAGACTTTAATGAACACATGGTATAGGATAGAAGTTCAGCCCCCTCTGATGTCTCTGAGGATGCCGTGGGAACGCCCTGATGGTAATAATATGGGAACGGGGGGGGGGGGGTGCTGGATAGGTGGCTCAGCAGCTGAGAGCACTGGCTGCTCTCCTGAGCACAATGCAGTTCCCAACACGCACATGGGGGCCCTCAACAATCTCTGATTCCAGGTCCAGGGGATCAAACGCCCTCTTCTGGCCCCTGTGGGTACTGCATCCTTGTGGTGCATATACTTAACATCCAGGCACACACACACATACAAATTTGTAATCGAAAATAAATAAAAATAAAATCTTTCTTTAAAATGTGCAATAAGCCAAATAGCCATCAACATGAAACGCACAGTGTAATTAAGATACACTTAACCACAAATGCTATGCTTAAAATGATTATAAATTTCAAAATGTGTTTTTATAGAGAACCTTTTATGACAAAATGTATTGATATCACCTATGCATTTGCAAATAAATAAAAATGCCTTGAAAAACACAAATGAGTAAGGAAAAACCAAAACAAACGCTGTAGGACATTGTCAGGCGCCTAAGTGTGCAAGGTCACTGAACCAACCCCAAACATTGTTTTAACAAGCACTGATAACACGAAAATGGGTTACAAATGTGAGTGTTTAGTCTACCTCTGTCAACCAAACCTCGGCTCCCTGGCAAGAGGGAGGAGTGTATAAAAAATGTTACTCTCAAGCACATAATCCCTTAAGAACTGTGTAGAAAAACAAAAGAAATGTAAAACAATCAAAGATAGACTAAAAACATAAATATCTGCTCTATTCCTATCTCAGTGGTAAACCATACCATCAATGGGTGACCCCTGACCCAACGTTAGGACCACGGGGCCACATTTTAAAGACTGATAAAAAGAGCTGGTGTCGGGCAAGGACAAAGCAGACACCCATCTGGAGGCAGCTCATTGGACAAGAGCTTGTGTCAGATGATCTCTCTTGCATCTTTCCTGGGACAGAAGGCCAAGACAGCTGTGGGGACCTGGGTGTGAGCCACGTGGCCAGGTGACTCCACAGGGAATCTCGTATCTCTCTAGGCAATTTCTCTCAGCCGTTCTAGAGTGTACCCAGGCGGAAAACAGCTGTCTCCTATCAGCTGGGAACTGATACGTACTAAGAGGTATGCTGGGATTTTTGTTTTGTTTTCTAAGGTTGGCTGGCAAAGAAGACTGAGGGAAGCTGGCAAGAGAACAAGGCAAAATTCCCCCATGAGGAGAGCGGAGACCGGAAGACTGCCTGCCTCAGAGAAATCTGTGTGACAGGCGAGTGACGTGTCTAAGGCCCTTCGGAGTAAGGAGCGAGCGCTCATTGTCTTATTATCACTATTACATCCTCATCGAGAGTAAGCAGAAATAGTGTTGTTCTTAGTAAAAGTGAGACCTCAAACAGGGGCCTCTGAAGGTAAACGGCTAACACACATTCCTCGTGGACGTGAATCAGGTGCTACGTAATTTCCTGCTTTGTCGCCAGCCGCCAGGCAAGAGCAGAAGGCGTTGTTTGCGAACTTGCCAGCTGTTGGACCGATTAAAACTGTGATGAAGGAACCCGCATGTGGGTGCCATAGAAAAAAATCACAGGATCATAAACCCCTAACCATGTCTCTAGCTTTCCTCCTTTTGGACATCCGCTCTCCCTGAGAGCTGGGTTTTGTCCTACAGTGTCCTTTGAAATGCTCCCAGATGGAAATGTTAGGGGACATGGGAGGTAACAATAAAGTAGAGAGCCTGAACCCAGACACAGGGACAAGTAAATGGAAACACAGTTGGTCACAGCACGAGACGCGGGCATGGGGTGGCAAGGCAAGCCTAAGGCGCTGTTTACTGTAGCCGCAGCCTCTTCCACCACCCTGGGGTCCTGCCCTGTGCGTGGCCTACGTGCCAATCACCAAGGTGACCCAGGAAGGGCTGTACTCCTCGTGGATGTTTTGTAGGAGACTGGATAGGTGGGTGGACTGGCAGACAAATGGAGAAGTTAATTAACAGTATACTTTTTTTTCTCCATGTCCCTTAGCATCAGCCATTCAGAAGCGATGTTCTACTTGGAAAGACTTTTCACCGGAGGAGCTCCACACTACTCACTATTGTCTGCTTCACCAGAGACATCCACAGCACACTCTGTGAAGTCGGGGTAGTGGTTTTCTTCCCAGACTCACTACCATCCCAAGGCAATTAGAATAATTAATTGCAACTAGAACGCACTGATTTAAAAATAAATTACCACAATTGGGTATCTGCAGGTTTGCCAGGGGGGTATTCTTGCTGCTGTCGTTGAGGCAGTACAAATCCTGAGTGTCCGGGCTGGATTTCGTCTCTTGGAGGGCCTTGATCCACATAATGTCACAGGAACACGTGAAGGGGTTTCCCGCCAGGACCCTGCATGGAACAGAAGAGCAACCCTGATCAGGCCCCTGCATAAGCTTCAGCTTCACTGGCATCTATGAAGGACCACAGGAGAGCGCTTCTTAGCTTGTCAACCTTTGCGAGTCATACCCACTTTCATGGCATGACACTGCTCATTATTCCCTCCATTGTCTAATAACTGCTGTGCTGTTGTTATGTGCAAACAGAACTGTGCAGGCTAAAGATAGCAAAGAGACGCGACACTCTGCAGAACACATAGGAAAACAGATCTGAACAAACACTGTTATAGCAGAGAGCGTCCCGTGGCGGGGGAAGGTGCTGTTTTTGTACTTAAGTGAAGGTGTCAGTGGTAATACTTCAGAAGCACTAGCACGCCTATCCCTGAGCAGGTTAGAGACGCTGGAGTTCTCACTTCAGTCGGGGAGGAGAACCATTTTTGTCTCCATTTAAAATAAAATGAGAGATGGGGACCCAAAGCTTCGGTGTAAGAGTCAGGAGGCTGCCTTTCCTGCCTTTCTGTGTTACGCAACCAGGGTCCTCTCCATGCGTGCAAGACAGTTGAGGGCATCAGCTGGACCGAAGACAGAGAACACATATGCACATCCTCAACCCAGTGGCTGAGATGCTGGACTCCACGGGCTGGCTGCGCTGTGCGGTCTACTTCAGGAGGCTGTGCAAAAAGACCTCCTCAGCCACGCTGTTTGGACACTAAGGACTACAGTGGGTAAAAGAGGAAGTGGTCAAGAGGAAAACAAAAACCTCAGGGGGGGGGGAAATCTTTAATGCTATTTATAATGCTCAGTGGCCTATTAAAGATGAGTTCCATTTATGACAATGAACCTTTAAACGAGGCCATTTTCAATCGCTATATGACTCTGCCCGGCGCTAACCACAATACTTAAGATTTCCTGAGGACGGGACCTGGCTTTGCAACATCGTTTACTCCTGTGGTTTCCTGAATGTGTTCTAAGAATCTCAGAGGTCCCTGGAGAGTTTTCTGTGAGTTTCTTGGGAGGGAAATGTGGTCATGGCAGACTGGTTTAATTTGTATCTGCTCACTCACCTCCAAGTACCCTGCCAACACCAAAATAGGATTTGATGCTATGAAACAAGGAATAGGAGGCTCAAACTCAAGTCACCCAAAGTATTTCCTAGAGTTCTGAGTACACAAATAGCAAATGTCTCTTTGAAATGAGAGGCTGTAAGCAAATAAACCGAGTGGGGGAAAAAAATGGAAAAGACGCTTCAATTCTGAACCAAGATGTTCACGCAACCACTGGGCCCTGGCAGGGAGAGGCGGCTCCTTTACTCCTCACAGGATGGTTGCTCTGGTTTGCTTAGGCTCCCACCTGTCTCAGTAAAAGATGGAATCCTAGGCACAACTTTCTCTCCTTCACCCTGACAGGTAACTGGTGCACCCTTGCCAACTGCTGAATGAGTTGTTGAGCAATGCTGCTAGTAGGATTTTGAAGCATGAACTGGAAAGCAGGGCTCTAGGTTTTAATTTGTCCAGGAAACTGTATGTAGTGGTGCCCGGCACCTGCACACGGAACACCTTGCCCTGTATCACGTGCCTGCCTTTGAGGAACCACATCTCTTCCTGTGTTAGAGATGCTGAGAAAACAGAAAGACACATAATAAATACATGTGGAGCCGATCGAACTGCTCTCAGGTATAAAGTGTAGGATAGTGGTCCCTGAGAGCTAGGAATGGTGGTGGAAACTGTCAACTAGGTACAAAGCCACAGCTAGACGGAAGAAATCCCAGCATTCTACAGTACAGTAGGCTTACTACGTTGAACAGTAATTTATATTTCAAAAGAGGCAGAAGAAAGTATTTTGTGTGTCGAGTATTTGGGATGATGTATATGCAGATATGTATATAGAGAGTCAGTATTTCAGTATATAAGACATGCATGTATCTTTATACACTACATACTGTGTAAAACATCATACCGTACCCCCAAAGAAGTATGTAAGTAGACTCAATTTAAAATGACTTAAGGAAATAAGCACAAGTGCTCTGACTCCCTGAAGTCGGTTTATTCCAAATAACTTCCAGTTGTCAGGTCTTTCAGCACTTAGCCCCTTCCTGACCATACAGCTGTGACTCTCCACTGGGAGAAGCCTCGTGCCTGTGTGATGCCCATGAGCTTAGTGAAGGACCCTCTGAATAGGAAGGTATCATGTGTGTCTCATCCTGAGCACCTAACCCAATGGCATTAATTTGAGGCCCATACCATCACCTCCCCAAAGTCTCTTCTCCGGTCTGCTAGACCAAAGTCCTAACTCCCCTCCCACTGCCCCTGCCCAGCCTCTGCCACACCCGCGCGTGCGAGCACACACACACACACACACACACACACACACACACACACACACACACTATACCACAGAAACCAGACCTGCCTTCCAGCTCTGCTGGGTGCAGCAGTTTCAAGCAGTATAGCTCCCTGCTGGTTGAAGCAAAGAACTGGTCCGAACCTGTGTGAGCTGTTCCCAGGCTGCTTCCATGGAAATGACAAGGGGCTCCCCCATTGGACCACCCAGCACTCAGAAGTCTACGCACCAGCGGGGGATGCACCTGGTGCGCATGCTCATGGACAACCTTCTCACATGTCAGCCTTGGAGGCTGGGGTTCCATTGTGGTTCCTTCCCTAGGGGACTTCATCCTGGTACTCAGAGCCCAAGCCACCTCTTAGCCCTGTCTCAGTCTGGAACAACAGCAAGGTGAGGACAGGAACCACCCCAGATGGGAACAGGGCCCAGGCTCATCCTGCCTCTCTGGTGTCTGGGAGCAGCCTGGGCAGTGGCCCTGGAACCCATTTCCTCTATGCTGAGCTGGGAAGCCTGGCCCAGCCCAGAACCCTAGCTTTCCCTTTCAGCTCTGGATGTGTGATGACTCCTGCTCTGCCCACATTCCTGACTTTCCTGCAGAAGAAAATAAATAAATGGAAGGTTTTAAGTGGCTTATGCTAATGGTTACCCCTAACCTCCAAGGCCTGTCCTTCCAGCCCCACACAGGCCTTGGGGATCCCTCAAGCACCTCCCTACAGCAATGGCAGCTGCTCATATATTTGCTTTGTGGCGTTTACACTAAGAACTGAAAACCATGGGAGATGTTGGCTGTCAGTTAGCAACACATCTCGAGGTTTCTCCTATCCTTTTACAGCAGAGGGGCAGAGGGGTAAATACTGAGTGTGGTGATGGAGTGCAAAGAAAAACTCCCAGCGGCAGCAGGGGCTGAGAGTAACCTCTCCACCACTGCTGTCCACACCCACGCCTATGCAAAGCTGGAAGGATTTTATCCGCTATAATTTCCTCTTTGATGAACTTGCTTTATTTGGGAGCTTGGATAAAACAGGAGCCAGATAAGATGAAATATAAAGCCACTTTAACGCAAAACTCCCTGCTGGTTTTTCCCCCTCTTTTCCACTATTAGAAAATAAATTATTTATGCATAAACAACATTCAACTGATCATAATGACATAATTGAGATTGAGATTTTAATCACCCAATTGGGGCAAAACTAGAGAAATCGTTTTTCAAGAATTCTGATGCAACATAAACTTGCAATGGTACTCATTAAAAAAATAATAATTATCCTCCCTTTGAAAATTCTCCCCCAAATGCCAGACAAAATCATTACTTACAGATCAGACAGGTCAAGGTGTCGGAAATGCTTCCTGGACAGACTGGTCAGCTTGTTTCTTGTGAAGTTACTGAAAGAAATCAGACACACAACGGTGTGAATTCAAAAGGTTATGGTTTTTAAATGATGTGTTAAAATAAAGATTTTGTTTTCAAATGTGATTTTCTTGGGTTGGGGTACACACAAGCGCCTCCTGAGGTTTTGAACATCACAAGCTCAGGAGAACATGAAAGCTTGACAACTGACAAGCTTCTTGAACATTTTGAGGTACATGGTAAACAAAATGTGGAATAACATAAAACTTAAACTGTCCTTCCGGGAAAGAACGTGCCCACTGGCAGAAATGGTCGCGATGAGACTGTTTACAGAGGGCCTGGGTGAGTGGGTAACTGACTATGTAGAGGGCAGGGTAGGGAGTCTTGTGTGCCGGGGTTTATCCTGAACTCCCCAGAAACACGCATCTTCAGATTTACATAATCCAAAGTCAAAAGCAGCAACAACAACAAAAAAACCTAATGAATTTCCCAGTGTGTTCCAAATTTGCGATTTTGCTAGTGATCTGTGCCATGATCATGGGAAATTCCCAGCCATCACCCGGGCAGCTGAGTTTGTTTACTGTGTAGTTTTTACTTAACGTTAATGAAGTTTAATGTCTGATGGCTGTGACCTGTACCTGAGCCCAGTATGCTGTACCAGTCCAGTGAATCTCGGTGGAAGGGGTTCTGGTCTGTGTCAGAGAGAGACAGAAGCGTAGGAGCTAAATCATGAGTGAATGGAGAAAAACGTGGCTTCTGGTGACTCGAGAATGGGTGCAGAGGCAGGCTGAGCTCTGTGAGTTCAAGGCCAGCCTGGTCTACAGAGAGTTCCAGTTCAGGCTCCAAAGCTACACAGAGAAACCCTGTCTCAAATCACCCCCAAAAAAGGGCGTGTCCACCCAGGGAACCTCCCCAGAGAGACCTCACAGAGATCTCCCCACAGAGACCTCACAGAGATCTCCACCCACCTGGACCCCGACCCACAGCAGGACACTCTCCTGCCTCTACACTTGCATCTTCTTTATACCCACGGGAACCGGTGTAAGGACTCAGGCGTCATGCCGGCCTGCCCCTGTCACCGGGCAGAATGCACTCAGGCAGTGCCCTGGTCAGCCCAGGGTTCCATGACTACATAGCCCCCACCCACCTCTCTCCCACTGTTCCCCCGGGCAGACAGGCCCTTTCCTGTCTCCCTCTTCTCTCTGTCCCCTCTCAGTCTCTGTGTCCGTCTGTCTCTTTACCACTCAACTCCCCGCTCAACCCCCTTTCTAATAAAACTTCTCACTCAAGCTCTCTGCCTGGCACGTTTGTCCCTCACCGTGGTCACCATTGCCTGCCGTGGAATCTGCCAAGGTTCACCTCGAGCTTCATCGGAACAAATGGCATCCCACATGCAAGTCTAATCCACCAGGAAGTTGTAAGTACTTTTGGAAAAAGAATGGCTTCAGTGCATCAAAAAGTCTATCCCTGTCTTTAAGGCTCAGGTATGTTCACATTCATCACAAATCCCAATCCTCCTGAGAAAATGAAAAAGAAAAAATACGTTCTTCCCTCTCCCAAGACAAGTAAAAACAGAGGCTGGGAGGGGGGCTAACAGGCAGCCTCCCCTCCCCCACCAGCTCCCCGCTGCGCTCCCTGGAAGCCTATGCTCTGTGGGGCTGCCACCCTCACAGAGCAGGGTTATGGGCCAGAGAACAAGATGAATTTTATGGAGCATACTTAGGAATTGGGGCCAGAAGCCAAAAAGGAGGAAGAAGGAAGAAAAAAAAAAAAAAACCAACAATCCTCTCACTGTGTGATTGTAAGACTTCGTTAAGAGCGTAATTAGCACCTCGGCAAAGCCCCTGGAAAACACACACGCTGGCTTTTCTCACAGTCCCTGAGTTTTTTAGGGTCTGGGCAGCAATGAAAGGCACCTAGGCAAACACTCAAGCTCTTGATGGCCACTGTGTGGGGCTAACGTGGACCAGGCAAACTGAGGCAAGGGTGAGCCAGGGTTCCCCTCTGAAGCTCCCTAAAGTCCAAAGGGCAATCAATAGTCCCATCTTGCCCACATTTCTGCATAGGTGGGAGCTCAGGGGGGTTGTCAGGCCAGCCTAGGACTGGAAAGGGACAACTTCAGGCACACATTTGCACTTCTCTTTGTGGATAACCGAGGTTCAGGAAATCCAGGGAAGTCAAGCTGCTCCCCAGGGTCCTCAGACCCAATCAGAGGCTGGGACAGAAGGCAGATGCTGGGAGTGACCCTGGCTACATCCCTGCCATCCTCCAAGCTTCAGCGTCATTCTGTGGCGGGAAGAGCCCCTTTCTTCACGTGGAAGCCCCAAGCTCCCTGGCCTGTCGCCCCTCTGTGAATGCCTGATGCTTGCCTAATTTCGTTGTGCTACACTGCTTGACAATAACTACTCAAATCAATAGTTTTTGAAGTTTGATCACTTATTGGCTCCTGCTTGCTGTCTGGTAAGGAAGCTATAAAGGGTATCTACCCCCTCTTTAGTAGTTTCCTATTATTTTAAATAAGACCATGTAAAGAGGCAGGACCAGACACATGGCCTTATGGGTGTGTGAGCTGGAAAACCATTAAATTATCCTATCACACAGCAACACAAAAACCACACAAGACTATTGATAGAATTACAATTAGCCACGGCCCACTGTTCACGTTAGAACGGGGCACCAATCCCCTGAGGAGTCAGATAGCACGCAATGCAGCTGCTGAGCGATTCGGGTCTAAGGTCATCTGTAATGACAATTCACAAACTTAGCTACTGAGGTCATTAATTGCTTCTGAGAGACTGCAGTGGGATGTTTCTCCATTCCCACCCTGCTGTCCTGTCTGTATCACCAAGGGCTACCAACACATCAGGTTTGCCCCAGCCAGCCAATCCAGACAGGCTGTCAAGAAGTGCTTCAAGGAAATGTGTTTTAAAATGTGCCCAGAGTTTTGTTCTGGCTTTTCAGAGTGTTTTATATCTTAGAAAGTGACTTCATTATTCCTGTCACATATAAAATATGAACTCATGATAATGACTTTATGAAATTAAGGTCTTCAGTAATATCAACACATCTCCACAGAGCAACCAGGCAGGCTGCTCTAAGACAATGAATTCTTTAATAACCGGCATGGAAATCAGGCCGGGAACTGTGGTCCCCAGGGAAGGGAAAAGGGACAGATGTTGCAAGATGATAGCGGTGGCAGAAATGTTATCTTCTTTATTCCTGTCCTCAGAACATGCTGAGGAGTCGGCCACCGGGTAAGCCCCACAGTTCACTCGCACAGGATTTGTGCCTGTGAGCTGAGAATAGAGACGTTATTCTATGCGAGTGAAATCCAGGTGAGACCTGGCAGATGAACGGCAAAATGCTGCAGTTATCATTGCAAAGAGAACTTGGTCCCCAAGAACACAGATGACAACTGCCAGCAGATTGACGCCACCTGAAAATGACAGTATGAGGGACTCTGAGTCTGGGGAGGGACCGTGGACATTTTTAGTCTTTGGGGGTGATCCTCAGGAAGCCCATAATTGATTGACCTAACTGGTATCATTGAGGGGACTTACCAGAAAAACCATATAATAATGCTTTTCTCCTGCATTTCCAATTGACTTCAGTCAACAAAATACCAGCATGACTTGGTGGAAGCAGTTCTTACTATTAAGAGTCATCTCAACCTTTAGCTTATCCAGTGATTGATTTTTTTTTCCTCTATTTTTATCAACCCATGGCCCATGCTGTTGAGAAAATAAAGGCTCAAATGACCCAGTATAAGGGAAAAAGCATTAGTAATTTTTATTTCCTCAAGCCGTCCAAGGCCAAGTCAGCGTCTTGATTACTTAGCTTGATGTCTTCCAGGGAGTGTGTCTTATTCCAAGGAAAAGGAGCAAGAACTCTGTACAAGGACATCGTTTTCACGTCAGAGTCCTTGCCGTTGGCCCAGTGCTCGGTCCAAAATGGAAATGGCCCAGAAATCCACAAAAGGGAATGAACAGGCTGTTCTAAGCACCCCAAAGCTATTCCGAAATCAACAGAATCAAAACTAACAGCTCCTAAGCTGTTATCAGAGCTATGCTAACTCCCAAAGAGAGGATTATAGCTGGCAAAAAAAAAAAAAAAAAAAAAAAAAAAAAAAAAAAAAAAAGAAAAGAAACTAAACAAGGGTGAGAAAATGCTGAATACGCATTAATCAACGGAGCAGGATGGCTCTCTACTCACACATGCTGCAGGTTGCTGTTCTTCAGAAATGCTTTGTAAGCCACAAATTTTAATCCAGAATCCACAATTGTCCTACGGAGAACACATAATGGCATCCACGTTAGAACTAAGCAGCAAATCGCCTACCTGGCCACAGCAGAACCAAGAAAGGTCCTGCGGTAACGTGCATGAATGTTCTGCGGTAACACACATGAATGGTGGGTACTCACAGGTTTCTCAGCCCCACGTAAACGCCAACGTCGTCTTCATTGATGATCTCTAACCGTTTCTGATTTGCAATGAAACTGTAACAAAGCAGAATGGAAACGTGGGTGACTCAGACTGCAGGTGAGAACGTGGAACGATGGGTAACTTCCATGCAACCTTACCACGGTGTCCAACGAGTCCCGTATGCACCACGTAGATGTCTTCTTTCTTTCTTTTTAATCTATTGTTGGTTCTTTGAGAACTTAGTACAATTTATTTTCATCACCCCCATCCCACTAGCTGGCCCTAGATCCACCCCCAGCCCTTTCTTTCCAGTGAAGGCAACAGTTAAACTGGCCAGATCTCACCACCAATGGCCAGACCACCAAGTGTCTCATCATTTACCACTTTCCTGCCTAAAACTTTCACTTTTCCTCTCCTTTAAAGACCCCAGGCTGTACAAAGGTGAAAATGTGTCCTGAGGGGTAAGAAAGGCCATGCTCCCTCACGCTCCAGGAGACACAATCACCTCCTCCTTTTACCTTCTGAAACAGGGAGTGAGTTCTCCCTCTTCTCAGGCCTGTGCTTTCTTGGCCAGCATCCTTTCCTTGGCCTTTGCCAGCAACAATTTCAATATTTCCTTTGATGAACCACATTCCACGAGCCCCAGGGGGCCCTTGTGAGGTCTCTACAGGAAACTATCTTTCCTCCCCAGTCCCCAAGGCTCCTAAATATAGGAGTTAGCTAAGGACTCTGGCTAATGACGGAGAATAACAGTCCTTGGCCATGACGATTGGCTGAGAGGTGTGCGTGTGACATTAGACACCAGTGGAACTCTTCCTAAGATTTAACACTAAGAATCCTGGGACAGAGGTGTTGGGTCCACTTTCTCCTTCTCTAGACTCATAGCTGAAGCATAACACAAGCCTAGGGCTTCTAACAGGCAAATTTTCTACCACAAGAAAGAGGCCATCCAAGAATGAACGAGAACAGAGCTAATGAGACATAAAAATGGACAATGCCCTCAAAATGCAACTTGGGTCTTTGAACCTAACAATTTCTGAAGCAGATATTACTAACCTATTTGATCTGGATTTCTGTCATGTGCAATCAATAAAGTCCCAATAGTATAAGCATAGAGCTATGAAGGCTACCATAAATGCCCTTTCCTGATAATGAGGTCAACGATTAATTTATCCACCATCAAGGAACCCTCATCTAGTAGATGATGGAAAGAGAAGCAAACACCCACAGCTAAACACTGAGCCAAACTGGAATCCAGATGCAGAGAGGGAGGCCAAGACCAGGCTGCAGAAACACATAGACAGCTGACCTGAACAAGGAGGAGCTAACGGGCCCCCAGACTGATAGCTGGGAATCCAGCATGGGACTGACTCAGGCCCCCTGAACATGGGTCTCAGCCAGAAGGACTGAACAGTCTAAGGGACCTCTGACAGTGGAGCCAGGATGTATCCCTGGTGCACAAAAGGACTTTGCGGGCACATGCCCCATGGAGGGATAACTGCCTTATTCTAGAGGCAAGAGGGAGGGCCTAGTCCCTACTCCAAATGACTTGACAGATTTGGATGACCCCTCCTGGAGGGATGACCCCTATATATGGAGTGGGAGGGATGGGAGGGGAAGGAGGTAAGGGTAGGAGAGAGGGAAAGAGGGAGGGAGGGAGGAAGGAAGAGGGAACTGGGATAGATATGTAAATTAAAAATAAAAAATAAATTAATTTAAAAAGAGACTACCATCATGGAGGTCGCCAATAGTACAAACATAGAGCTATTAAGACTACCATCCTGGAAATTTTTGTGATCTGCTTTGTATATGATGGCTATTTAAGAATCTGTGTCTATATTCTTAGGTCACAATCTTCTGGAAAACAGAATTGTTTCTATAATTCTTAATGTGCATCACAGCTCCAAGGTTAGTACCTTAAACAAAGTAGGTAGCACACAGATGATGGATGACGGATAGATAGATGTGATATATAGATGATAGAGGAGAGGTGAATAATGGATGGATAATGAATAGATGGGTGGATGGATGCATGGATGGATGCATGGATGGATGGATGCATGCATGATGAATTGGTGGATACTGGAGGATAGATGGGTGAATGAGTGGATGGGTGATGGTTAGATTGTGTATGTATATGGATGAATGAATGAATGAATGAATAGCTGGATAGATGATTGAAGAATGAACAGGCAACAGTTGTAGTTACAAAAGTACCACAGGGGTCATGGTAAACTTTTCTTTGTCATCTTTGAAAAACATTAAGATGTATAGCATTTTAATTAATCCATTAAAGCCAACCATACAGCTCTTCTGTTAATGATGAGTTTAAATGAAACAAATGTCTTGAGTAGTGAGACTAGACAGCACTCAGAAACTCTGGATCCCTTCCCAATAGGCAAAAGAAAATGGGAAGACGAATGGTAAAAACTTAGCCAAGTTAGGGCTGAGGAGTGGGTAAGGAGATTGCTGTGCAGGCATGAGAGACTGAGATTATCTCTAGAACCCTCATGAAAGTTGGGGGTATGCACCTGTCACTCTAATTCTACAGGTATGGGGACAAACCAATCCCATGGCCTCCTTGGCCAGTTTGGCTGAATAGCTAGCTTCAGGTTCAGTAAGAGACTCTGCCTGAAAAAAAACAAAACAAAACAAAAAAAACAAGATAGTATACAATAGAGAAAGATATCCAAAGTTGAGCTTTGGCCTCCTCATAAGCACACAGAGGTAAGTATGCTCTCTGCCCTCACACATAGGTACAGTAGATAGACCACACAGATACACACACACACACACACACACACACACACACACACACACACACACACATCCATAAGAAGAAGAAAGGAGAAGACAGAATTAGGGCACATTAAAATTAAAATTGAATAGTTGAGTATGTAAACTACACCAATACCAAAATCATTTTAAAAGGAGCCACACAGATGCTGCATCAGAAACCCAGCCCCCAAAACAGGCCCAACCACTTCCCAAATTCTCAGACTCCTGATCCAAGACCAGCCCTTCCTCCTCCTAGCCAACACAGAAGAAGGAAACAGTTCAAGACCTGAACCGAAGGCTCGATTTTTGACATCAAGTTTTTATGAAATGTTTCAGAATCATCACATTTTGGAGACACTTTTCCAAGAATCTCATTGCACTAACATTTTCGGTAAGACCACAATGACCTCACTCTTCTCAGTGAGCTACACTAAGACCTGGATTCCACAGTGCTAAGTATTTTTAGCATTTTCTTTTTGCCACAGCAGCGGGAAAGGAACACTCAGTGGGGGAGGCTTCTTTGGATTGGCCACAGGGGCATGGGACAAGCCCACCTTTCCCTGTGTGCCCGAGTTAGCACAGAGTCCCTCAACCTTCGGAACCCTTGTGTTCTGTTTGTCTCTCGGTGGGATCATCACTACATTCTCCGCGACCAGGAAAATCACCCGACATCTGAGCAGTACAAAAAACATTTATCTTCACTTCAACCTTTCTTTTAGTTGTTTGTGCCACTTTTAAATGTTTATTTCATTTTAACCCAGTACTTAGGTTAGATATGACCCAGTTGTGCTCAATAAAATGCAATGGGCACAAAGAAAACAGAAATAACGTACCAATGAGGTGAAGAATTAAGGTTAAAAAAGCATTGACTTAGCCGGGCATGGTGGTACACACCTTTAATCCCAGTCCTTGAGAAGTAGAGGCAGGTGGATCTCTGCAAGCTTGAGGCCAGTCCGGTACACATAATGAGTTCCAGGACAGTTAGGGCTACACGGTGAGACCCTGCCTCAAACAAAACAAAACAAAATTTTTAAAAAAAATGACTTGTTAGAAGAGTCTGAGTTTTATTTTTAAGTTTTTGGGTTGCAAATCCTCAAGAAGGCAAGGGCAATTTTGTCAGTGATAAATGTACATTATTCAGGAAAAAGTAAGCAACATCAAGCTCAGCAAAGGCAGGATCTAATACCAGATGGATTTTTCTGAAAACCACTCAAAGACCATAGGCCATTATAAAAATCGCTGTAGAGTGTGAAGAAATGAATGCTTACATGGCTCTGGTCAGAGGGAATGTGTCCTGAGTGGGCAAAGCTCCCAAAACACTGACACTAAGGTTGCTCCTGCTTCTTATCTAGAGAAGTCAACAGCCCAACTGTCAGCTATGAATTACCCATGTCATCTACCCCTAAGAAATGCCGCTTAGGCCTGAGGGGATGGCTTGGCAGCTAAGAGCACAGACTGTTCTGCCAGAAGACCCAGGCTCAGTTCCCAGCACCTACATCCTGGCCTACAACTCTCGTCCAGTTCCAGGGCATCCCGTGCCCTCTTCTGGCCTTCACTGGCATCAGGCATGCTCATGGTGCACAGAAATACATGCAGGCAAAATATTCACATACAAAAAATAAACAAATCTAAGAAAAGAAAAATAAAAGGGAATTCTGCCCAGTTACCACCAAGTAAAGACTTGTAAGGAGAAGGGACCCAATGAGGCTTCCAGGCAATCCAGAGAGGAAAACCGTAGTGACCAGGACCCCCATAGGAAGCTACTCACGCTCTCGGATTCTGAAACACACAAAACAAGCAGTGCTGCCATATGTCTCCGTCCCCACTACATTGACAAGGTGTGTAACATCTGACACCGACTCCTCGCTAACCACACGGGGATTCCCTCACACTGTCAGCAAGGGTGTGACTGGGAATAGCCTCTCTGAAGGGGACAGTGCCAGCATTCCGCAGAATCATAAGCTGGTACCACATGAGGTCCAGCCACTCTACCTGTAGGTAAGAGGCAAGAGAAATTCTCACACATAAGCACATCACAAGCACGCTCGTGTGGGTGTTGTTGCTTTCCTGGGACTCCAGCACACAGGAGGGGAGGCGGGAGGGTTTCTAGTTCAAAACTAGCCTGACTTATATAGGGAGGACCTTATCCAAAGAAGAGGAGGAGGGATTTTAAAACAATCAGCAGGCTGTTACAATAGAGTCGAAAGCCAGAAATATGCACCCATAAAGACATCAGGAACTCTATGAAGTAAAATATACTAAATACATAATTGAATTGGATATATATATATATATA